TATATTCCGTTTATTAACGTTTATCCATCATTCTAGAATATGCTTGAGTTCATGTGCATCCAATTTACCCTACCTAGAAAATACTCAGTCATTTAAATCATCAATCCCAAGTTATTTACTACTTATGCCACCGGAAAAAGTTATAAAGTTAAATTTATTCCTAAAATGGTCTTCAAGAAAGAATGAAACTCATTTGTTTGCAAAAAGGCATTTACAGTGAATGCTATGGCCAGAGGTATCCTGAGTACAGAGAAAAAAAAACAAAAACCTTTTTCGACTCTTTTAAAATCCTGTGTCTTTGTTATTTGTGAAAGCAAAATTTTATTTTCGTTATCAGACTCCTAATGTAGTTCCACTCTATTTGCTTTCCCATTAACAGTCTTGAATCTCTTCATTACTTCATGGGTGTTACAATCATCCAACAAAGAAGTCCTGTTCCTTGCCAAAAAGAAAAGAGATTTGGGACCAACTTGTGTGTAAGTCTCTGTGGTAAGGATACCCCAACGATGATGTCTACATCTTCCTAATTTAACCTACATGAAGAACCTAATTTCGATAGTGTTATCTATTTGCATCTTACAGTGCTTTCGTATTATGTAAACTCTCAAATCATGTAGGAAAGCAACCTGGAATCTTTGAAAAAAATTCTCAACTTTAGTTACATGTTTTCTCTTGTGTTGATAGGTTGTGAAAAAGAGGGACGTTACATAGATTCATTTTCCCTGATCGACCTGGTGCTCCTAATTGCGAGCTCAATTATGAGTTTCATGTTACTTAGATTCAAGAACTTGGAGCTTCTTTTCCTGTACCATCTATCTCGATGATGGAAATAAAAAAGAAAGAGTAAGTCAAGGTGTTAGAGAAAGATGCTCTGAGTCTAGTGAGAGAAATCTCATTAGGTGACCCTTTGTATTTCAATTTCATGTTCAAAATTCAAAAATTCAAATTTTGCCCGCCTTCATTTGGAAAATTTGAATTTTACCATTTCATGAAACATCAAGTTGTTCCAAGTGTTATCCTACAACGTATTCTTACCTTTTCTGGTAAAGTTCTAGGCAAAATTCAAATTTTGTTTTCCCTTCTAGTGCAATTTTGAATTTAACTTATCTTTTCAACCTTATACCGGATTATTCTAACTTGTTTGAGCCTTTGAGGTAAGGTTCGAGGCAAAATTCAAATTCTGCTTTCCCTCCTAGAGCAGTTCTGAATTTAGTTTGCCTTTTCAAACTTATACCAGTCATTCTAACTTGTTTCAAGCCGTGTTCTCATAATATTGAGGCTCAAGATAAATTTGCAATAACCGTTACTGATTTTGTTCCAATACAAGATAAGGAAGATAATGTTTCTTTTTGGCAATTCATTTCTAAAAAAACACCTTCTTAATAATATGAAATAACCTTTATGGGGGGGGAACTAAATCAAGAGATGACAGAATCACCATGTGTTTCTCAAACACTTGGAGCAGAATTTACAAATTCTAAAGGTTCGACAATAAAACCTCATGCCTGCAAAGATGATATTCACCAAAGGAAACATACGGAACAAACTAATCCAAATGCCCATTGGGTTTGTTTTACAAAGGTCTTGAACTTAAAGCTTTTGATGATTTACCAAATTAAGTGATTTTGGGAAGCCAAATGCAGATGATGTTGAAACTAGCGCGCATTGATAGGGCCCGTTTAAGGCATCCCTAGGTGCTAATTATTATTATTATTATTCCTCTTCTGGAAAGGCTAATTTTGTATCGAATGATGTAGGGGACAAACTAGATGAAGAAGAAGACATTGAATTGAAATTTGATAAATAGTTAGATAAGATTTAAACTCCTATGTTATCAAATTATATAAAGATGATTTTGGAATATTTTTATTGAAAATTTTGAAAAATTTATAAAGTTCCTATAAATCTATTTTAGATGTTTGATAAGTATTATTTTAATTATTAAATGATTTTCATATTGACTAAAAATTTAAGATAATATTAAAATAAGAAAACAATTTTTTATGCTTAGACCTTGCTTAAAGTTTGACCTCCACGGATCGTCATGCTTTACACTTTTTAGAACACTAGTTGAAATTGCATGGGAATATTGCTTGGTTGAATACTTTGCCAAAAGATCCCCAGGTAAAACTGCCCTTTTGCAAACGTATGATTCATGGAAAATTAAATTTCATTATTTCTTTTATTGATAAACGTAAATATTTATTTATCAAAACTCGTGTATAAGTACTCTGAACATACCCAAACTTACATAACAAACTTTACAAATGATGAAGATCCAAGGAAAATAATATTTGTACATCCCATGGCGTGCACTTAGGTTTACACCCCCCACATGGAGGTGGGGCAGCACACAATAAATTACATACCTAGACTTACATAAGAAACTTTACAAATAATAAAGATTTAGGAAAAATGATACTTGTACACACATGGTGTACGCCAGGTTTATACACTGGCCCACCTCCATGTGAGAGAAATGTAAACCCAAGTGTACACTCTTATGTACATGTAGCATTTTCCAAGATCTAATGACCCAAAGCTGAATAATCAAAACATGAGAATACAATGAAAACATAAGTTTGTATTTTGATCCGTCTAGCAACGCTATCTGCATATGGACTTAGATCTTCAAAAGTCCTCCCATTACTTGCTGTTCAAACATAATATAATTTATATGTAAGTGCATTCTCTTGGCTTTGCTTTGCTAAGACGTCCCACGAGCTTCATTATTGATCCAATTAATGCACTAGCAATCACTATCATTGATCTTCTAATCTAACCAAGCTCTAATTTGTCTCCATATGTTCGAACTCATAGAGCATTGTAAAAAAAAAAAAATAATAATAATAATAAATAAATAAATTAGGTATTGTTCTATCAGCCATTGATCCACAAAGAACATAGTTTTTGTCTATGTCCAAGCGTTGCAACTTATTTTGGTAAGTAGCTTTGGCTTAGTACTTAACCAAAGGGTAAAAGAATGTTTCGAAGTAATACGTGAAGTCCAAACATCTACAGCCCCAATCCTTTTAGTCCCTTTCAGTCGGAAGTAATCACAAAAGCATTTGAGATGCGAACGTTGCCCCTATTATTCCATTGCGATAATCTCTGGGTGGTAACTTGAACATACCCCTCCAATTGATTAATCAAGTCTCTAATTGAAAAAGCAAATTCTTGAACAATGAGGAGACAATTCCCAAATAGAAGCCCCTTTCAAATACACATGATTCACCCACCAGACCCAAAGTGTGTCCTTATCATCTATGTCCTATAAGGATCTAGCAACCAATGCAAAATCCCGACATTTAACGTTCCAGAATCCAAGTCCTCCTCACTTTTAGAAAGACATACATCCTTCCAAGCAACTAAGGGCTTCTTGGACAATCAAAAGAAATTCCTGCAAAGTCTTGTGATTCTTGCAGTCACCGTAGCCAGAATTGGGCAAATAGATAGCCAAAAGCATTCAACTCACAGTAATACAGCCATTAATAATTCTACCCTCCTAACATATGACAAGGAAGTACTCATCCAAGCACTAATGTAGGCAGCAATAAACAGAACAAAGCAATTTAACTTCAGTTTCTCAGTTGCAAGCGGGATCCCCAAATAACCGAATGACATTGTTCAATTTGGAATGTTTGTCAAATCTTAGATTTCCTCCAACTCTTACCCATTGATTCCAGTCGTATATAAGCTGGACTTAGTCGTGTTCATCCATAATCCATACCTATCTTTAAAATTGGTTAAGCAATCTATTAAGATGCAAATAGAAATAACATCACCTTTTGCGAGAAGCATCAAGTCATCCACAAATGCCAAATGTGTGATATTCGAATAGTTTCATAATTAAATTTGGACCCGACGATTCCACTTACTAAATACCCGAAAATTTCAAATCTGGTTCAATTCTAGTTAGAACCAAACCAAACGGAACCATACCCAACCCTACTTTTAATGATACAATGACAAAGTATTTATGAGTATCTTATAGGCTTTAACTTGAAAAAAGGGATATTTAACTACAAATTCCTAATATCCAAGATTAGCAAGGACAATTGGAACCTCAACTTGGTGTTGCCAAAAACCTCAAGCAACGAAGCACTACATAATTATAAACCAGATACACTCAATATATAGACGTATGCTAATAACTGATATAGCAACCAGCCTTTATGGAGATATTTCTTAAGTTCAAGACACAAGATCTAAATGAATAAAAACAAGGTCTTGTTCTAATAGATCAGGATAGGTAAATAAATACTTTTACTCCATTCCTATCGGAAGATCCAATCCAACAAGTTCCGTGACAATTACAAAGGGTCATGTTAATTTTGGCTACTCCCTCTTCTAACCTCCAATTTCACCAAAAGTAATAAATCATGCATTGTCTCTAGCACAGCCCATTATGCTTATTGCACTAGAACCAACGTATCCAAGTAGTTATTCATAAATGTGAGATTATAATGCTAACTTCCACTTTGTCGTGGCAAGAAGTTATGCACTGAACATGTATTTTCAAACTATTAAGTTGCCAAATATTAAAACAAGTACTTCAAAATCAAACAAATAACGACTAGCAAAGAAAGAATCAGATTACTTAACAATTCATGTCATGGGATAAGTAGCACCTCGTACAGAGAAACAAATTCCCCTTACTCAAGTGCACTTCCTAAGTTGACACAAGACATAAACTTAATTGAAATCCTAAAAAGTCAAAAATTCATTGGATACCACGGCTGAATAAGAAAAGAGGCAATAGTCGAGTAGCAACAGGACGCCTGCAGTCTCAGTCCCCTTTTCTCCTGAAGGAGCATCCCTCCGTGAGTCGGGCACGGCCACCAGTGGGCTGGCATAACACCGTCTGGCAGTTGCCGCAGACCACAACGGTTTGTGAGTGGCTAAAAACAGTGGTTCTGCATCAAATTTTAATTTTAAGAAACACATCAGATGACCCACATAATCAACCAATAGCATCAACACAATAAATAAAAGTCGAATATCTCACATGTTGAAGCAACCCTGACATTTCACATCCTAATGCAAAAACAAAGAAAAAAGGCAAAGATCAAAAGGGGTACAAAAGATAATGAATATACAACAATTAAGAGTCGCAGAAATTACCATGAAAAAAGAATTGGGAGACTGGACGAGACGCTTGAGCTTGTGCTTCTTCTTCTCCAACTCCGGTGGAGGATGCAGCAAATCGACATCGTTCGGGAGAACCTATATATCCGTTAATCCACACAACCACACAAGTTTTTCATTGTATAAAAATGAAATAGCTTTAGTGTATTACATATTGCATATTGAAATCAATGGAATTAGAACCCACCATTTTGATTCAACAAGGTAAAAGAATCCTTCGACGGCTGCGCGTGAGAGAAATCAGAAATTGCTTCGCACTGAATGAAGGGTATTTGCCCTAATTGAAATC